TTTGTGTTGAACATGCATTTGCAGCTTTAAAAGGACGATTCCAGTCTCTCAAGGAACTTAGGCACCCACTTCAGAACCAGAAGGATCTTCAGGTCACTCTGCATTGGGTTAGGTGTTGCCTAATCCTTCATAATATGATCATCCGCTTCGAGGAGATTCGCAAGAAATCTACACTTGTATGGGCTGTTCGAGAGGGGAACAATACTATACGCCATGAGGATGAAGGACCAGATGGTGATGAAGTAGTGGGTGATAGGTCTTATGAAGGCACTCCAGGTCAAGCTCACAGGGCAAGGCTGATGGATTTGTTGTTTGATAGCCCTCATTCACAAGCACACCATCAGGCAGATTGAGCAAACAAGCAGAGTAACATTGTGTATAGCTAAACAAATGTACTACTAAATTTTACAACTAGTGATCAACTTGTGGCCATATGTGAGAACACTACATGCAAACATAACAAGACATATAACATCCAAGACATGTAAGAGTATAACGACGCGAGAACATAACAACAACAACACGAGAACATAACAACAACAACACGAGAACATAACAACAACAACACGACAACACGACAACAACAACACGACAACACGACAACAACAACACGACAACACGACAACAACAACACGAGAATGTGATGATGATGACGACAACGACGCGAGAAGGTGATGACAACGACAACGACGCGAGAACATGATGATGATGATGGCGGCGCAAGAACGTGATGATGATGACAACACGAGAAGTCAGGTACAAGCAGGTTTGCCACCCTGGGCATTGAGCTGGGCCCACTGAATCCGGAGGCGTAGAACATCTGCTTCCGAGGCAAAAGCGGCGGCATCCGCTTCACGTAGGCGAATATCTACCTCTTTAGCCTCCTTCATGCGCCGATGGACTATGGCAGCATCTGCGCGCTCATCCATACGCTCCTCACACATCAGATGATGCTCCTTGTCCTGGCGACTAGCGTTGAGCTTCACCATAAGGCGCTCGTTCTTCAGCTGATATAAGGTTAGCTTGTCAGAGTGAATACTTTCCAGGTCGTCGTTGAGTGCATCCATTTGCTCGTGAATCTCCATCCAGAGACGTTTGGAGACTGAACTTGCTGGCGTCGTCGAGACAGATGTTTGCGCTGTTGGGGAGGACTGTTGCGATGACGGCTTGTGAGATGATGATGGCTTTCGAGAGTGCGACGACGAGCGCGACCCTGATGATGCCATAGAGCCCGATTTACTCTTTTCACACATCATCACCTGGCTAACATGCGACTTGAATGTAGCGCGATCATGCTGGACGGAAGTGCGGGGGGGCACCTGTTGCGTATGAGAGGTAGTAGTAGGGGAGGGGGGGGAAGGGGGCTCCTGGCGCTTCTTCCCAGCCCTGCGTCTTGGCGGGCTGTCCAGGCTGATAGTGTTGCTGTCGTCGTGAATAATTTCATCTGGGGAATCCATATTAAGATCCTCCATCTCACCCACAAGAGGGTTGTCATCGTAGATACCGTCAAAATTATAATCATCAGTAGGGGAATGAGCGACGGGAGAGTAAGTACTGTCGTGAGATGTAGCACCGGAGGGAAGCGGTGGGTAACGAAAAACAGGGGACCCGGCAGAACTGTTGGTGTGAGTGCTTGGGGGCGGTGGCACATAGTTCCATTGCGAAGGGCTACCACCACTGCCTCCAGGAGCAGGGGGAGTGTGACAAAAGGGGGAGGTAGGTAGTGCCGCAGCTGCGGCACCACCTGCATGAGCGTTTGGAGGAAGGTAGTCATAAGTGGGTTCAGTTGATGACCCAGCAACGCCGCCAGCTGGAGCATTCGGGAGAGGCGTGTTGCCAAGTTGCATGGGAGAGCCAGGATCAGTGCTGGAGGAAGCGGGGGGACGAAGAGAGCCACCCGAAGGACGGGTGAGAGAAAAGAGATCACTCGCGTGTTCAATGCCCGGCTTTGACAATGACGTTTTGGCGGAGAATGATGGATGGGAGCCCCAGATGGAGTAGAGCTGATTGTACCAGGGAAAGTCCTTCTCGTATTTACCTACAAATTTAATTAGAAGAATTCGTGTAGGGAGGAGAAGACTCACGATGCAAATTCACGCTTGTCTCTGAATCGATGGGCATGATGCCTGCACCTGTGGACTCAAATTCAGCATGAATGTCACGAAATTTAGTGCAGAGGCTGTGATCAGCGATCAGCATTGATGATTATAAAAATAGGGGGGGATCACTTACGCCACAATGTGATTATATACAGAGTCCCAAAATTTGTTGGGATTCGAGGCGTAGAGCACCGCATATTGAGGATCGTCGGAGAAAATAACCCTTGCAATGACAGTATGGATTTCATTTTTGTCTTTGCCTGAGGGGCGGCCCTCAGCTTCACGGTTGGCTGGATTCTTCTTTTCACTGGCGAACAGAATGCGGCAATCTGGTGGGTGTCCAACGAGGTAGTCAACCAGCCTATTGGTCCGCTGGGGAACTGCTTGCCAGCTGATAGAGATAGTAGGAGAAGTAGTAGCTCTATCTTTACCTCCTCTGCCGCGTTTTCCCTTTCCCCGTGCAGGAGGAGCTGGTGGTGGCTCCATAAATTTCAGCCCGGTCTTGCAACGTCGCGGGGAGATGATTTGAGACTGTATCTGTAGTCGCGCAGAGCGACGAAGTCGTGGTCGTAGGGCAGGCATGTCTTTTGGGACTCCGATCGATGCCGGCCCAAGCCGTAGTGTGACAAATCTTATTTTTGACCGAGTTTACCGAGCTTTACAGAGCTTAGCGAGCTCTGTGAAATTTACTTTGAACGCCATTAATGTTTTTAGATTTACATAAAACCTTGTTTTGAGTCCTGACTCTACCGTACCCCAGTGATGCATCAAGCTTTACTTATTCCCGAAGTCCTCCTGGAGATATTCGCTTATAATATGATACCATCTACTGAAACAACATCGACCCAGAAATTGCTTGCAGGGCTTGCAAGGACATGCAAAATCTTCCACGAGCCTGTGATGGATTTGCTGTGGACTGAAATCCATGGATTAGAACCACTGCTGGGCTGTGTAGCGAGGCTACATCCACTGATATATCATAATGGCACAAGGGTCAGTGCACGACCTCATTACGCTTTGTTCGTTTCTTTTCGGCTCACTGAGCGTCTACATAATAGTGGGACGACTCGGACGAGCCCTGGGCGAAAGGTGTTGAGCCATTATCTGCCCGTGAGGTCCATCAATTTCTGCGTCACTCCTCCCGTATACGCACATTGGACATACAATCTGATCATCCACACCTTCTATCTGTCATCCCCGCCGAGGCATGCGTATTTCCGAGGCTAAAGTCATTAAGTCTTTCCACCACATATTTGAACCTTTTTCTGCCTCACATGCTGCACCGGTGTCATCTATTGAGCATCGACAAGGGTCTGCAATCTTTTGTGACACGTTGCATTGCTCTGGAGCATTTATGCATCTACACTCCCATAAGCGATGATGATGGCAGTACAGCAGATGAACTGTCCCACCTATCCGATAGGATTCATTGGTGCACGCGACTTGTAACTCTTTCTTGTCCAATGCTCAACTGGTCGGCATGGAAGCACCTCTCCCACCTCCCTACCCTTCGCAAATTGGAAATTGATCAAGGGTGTAATGACCCTCCTTCGCTGCCAAAACAAGATATCGTGAATTTATCATTCCTTAACATCACAAGCCTTTCCTTTCGAGAGCTCTATGATGCTGGATACATTATCACAGTCTTGCGACACTCGCAATTTCCCTTGCTGAAAGAATTCAGGTTTGAAGCAAACTGTCTGTCTTCAGAAGAGGCCGAGCAACTCTTTCATGCTCTGTTCCACTGCAAAGCGTGTCAGACTCTAGAAGAAATCTCGATATGTTCTTATGACAATGTAGTCATGGAAAACGACGGGTTTGTGACACCAATTCCGCATTTCCTTTGCTTCACACAGCTCCGAACTCTGAAGCTTATGTTTAATAATTTCTACATCTACCTGGACAATGATATGCTCTTGCAAGCTATGTCTAGTTGGCCGCACATCCACACTCTGGAAATCGATGATGCTGCTCTTTTTTCCGAAGCCACCCTCCGTGGATTATTCACAGCGCTCGGTCTATGTCCACAATTGCATACACTACAAGTTCCAATCAATCTTGCAGCTATCGACATCGATCCTGATGCCGAGCCAATACAACATACCTCCCTACGATCATTGACTTTGGAGTTATCTGAGTTTCAAACAGCAGATGCTGAAACTATCGCTCGCATCATTTCCGCCTGGCTCCCTCGTGTCAACCAAGTTCAAGACGTAGATGGTTTCAGTTGGGGTGAGGTCAACAGGCATCTTAGATCTTTGAGAGTGGCTACCGCGCCGTATGTCGTGGGAGTCTCCTAGAATATTTGAGTTTGGAATACCTTCATGTCCGGGAATGTTGTTACATACCTTCGAGTTCTTTCATTCACTTGTTATCGTTGTCGTCGTCGTTGACCGTAGTTATAAACTGGTGTACTAGTACTTCTGCATAATCGCCAAGGACCCACTGGTTCACTGTCATTAGTACGATTTCCAACATCATTACAATGTTCCGGCTTGGAGTGGAGCTGAGGCGTCTCGCCTGTGAATATAGGCATGTTGCTTAAAAGGTTTGTCGGGGTAGTTTCAGGAGTTGGAATTGCACGAAATGGTTATATTATCACACAACATGACGCTTTCCCCAGCTGTATGGTGTATGCGTGTTTGAAGCACATCGGTGCACCCTCAGCCGAGAAAGTGGTGAGGACTTGATAATGTCGGAAAAATATTGTCTGAGCACAAGATACCTGAAATCCCCCCATCATGCTGACCAGGACTGGCTAGGCAAGCCGCCATGGTAGGGCCTGACAATGCCTGATGCATGATGTTCTCAATGGACTTATGATCGGCATACTGTCGGTAGCACAAGAACTTGGTTTTTCTATAAAGGACAAATGGTTATTGCTTAGTAATCAAGCCATCTCTTGGTGCTCCCAACGTGCATGTCTTCCGTTCCAAACGGTGCAGACATCTCTGCTGGTACTCACCCGGATCTGTCGCTCGGTTCATTCGTATCAGGTCCCAGTACACCCGGCAGACCACTCCGTGTCCCGTCAATTTCATCACCTGCTCCTAGCAACGGTGATGGCCCAGACACACCCCTTCCACGCGCACGACGTCCAAGACAAAGCGCACCAGGAGGAAAAGGCGCTGCTTTATCTTTAAGAGACCAAGAAAAGGTAAAATAAACACCGCCGCCCACAGGCTCTATGTAAACTAACCTACACAACAGCACATCGACTCTCTCAAAAAAGAAAACTTTAACATCAAACTACGCGTTCATTTCCTCGAAGAGCGTCTTGCGCAGCTTGCACCCGACCAGATAGATGCTGCTCTCAAACAGAACATTAACCTCAAGATCGAGGTCCAGCAACGCGGTCTTGAGATCAAGAAACTCAAGAAACTCGTCTTGGAGCTTGAACGTGAGTTGGAGCGTCTTCAGCGTGGCTCGACGCGCGACCATGATCTGGAATCGCGGCTGCACGAGCGCGAACGCGACTTGGAGACACAGCTACATGAGCGGGAACGCGATCTTGAGATGCAGCTTCAAGAGCGCGAGCATGAGATCAGGGAGTTGAGGAAGACCCAGGTCATCATTGAGCGCAGTGGGGACGACTCCATAGATCCCAGTTATGCACGGAAAGTCGAGGATCTGCGTGCTGAGAATGAAGAACTTCGTCATGAGCTCGAGCAGCGCGATCAACTTCTCATTGCACGCGAGGAGGAGAACGAGGCACTTGCTGACCATGCTGATCGGTTACAACTGGAGGTCGAGGATTTGCAGCGACGGAGAGAAGCGGAAAGCATTGAAAGGAGCGAGAGTCGGGCTCAAATAATTGAGGAGAGAGAGGAACGTGAGGCTGTGGAGGACGATCTCAACTCAATCCGAGATAAACTTGCTGCCGCCACTATCGAGCTACAACAGAAGGAGGACGAATTGGAGCTCAAGAACAAAGAGATAGATGATTTAATCCAGGAACATGATCGCGTCGTTGATGTTGTCGAGGAGGAGTGGAGGGGTGAAGTCGAAGAGGCCAGGAGTCAGGTTGAAGAACTCAGAGATGTTTGTTTCGTTGTCCTATTTGTCTTCTGTCTCTCACTATCGCATAGGTCCTCGCAGAACGCGAAAACGAAGCAAGAGAACTCCGCCTCAATATCACAGAGCTCGAAGCCAATACCAACGACCTCCATGCCAAGTTCGAAGCCACACTCGCACATCTCGAACAAGAAGCAGAGGAGAAAGATGCCGAGCTCCGCGCTGCGAACGAGGAGATCGAGCAACTCGGAAAGCAAGTATACGCACTCGAGGAAGATGCAGATCGCATGGCCGAGGATCACGAACGTCAGAGAGAGGATGACGCAGTCGAGCGCGAAACACTAGAAGCACTCGCGTCTGCGCTCAAAGATGTACGTTCATTTTCGTCTCTCACTCGAATTTCAAAAGCTCACTATGCAACAGAAAGTCTCAGGACTGAAATCCCAACTCCAAGACCTCCAAGAACTCTACGACCAATCTCTTCAAGACATGCACGCACACCGAGCCCGTCAGGAAGAACTAGCGGGGCACATCGAAGACCTAGTAACCCAAGTGAAAAGCGAACAGGAAGCTCGAGAGAGTCTTGAGCGCGAGTTCGACGATGTCGAGAAGACGCACGAGTCTGAGCTCCGACGCGAACGCCGTGCACTCGAAGACAAAGACTCCGCACTGCGCAACACCCTCGATGATCTCTCACGCACGCAGACCCTCCTCTCACAACGCCAAGGCGACCTCGAAGCCGTCCAAAACGCACTTCGGGATATGGAACAACGGTCCAAGGAGCTCGGGGAGACCCATACGACCGCGCGGTTCTCGTTGCAGCTAGAAGTCGACAGGCTAAAACGTGATGTCGACCGTTTAGAGGACGAACTATCTCGTACGAGGAAAGATGTCGGCGACCGAGAGGGTACGACTCGTGATCGTGAAGATCTGATTCATAAACTGCGGCTCGAAGTACAACAGCTCACCACACAACTCAACACCCAAACTCAAGCACGTCTCAGTCTCTCAGAGAAGCTTGACAGCGCGCAAAGCAGTCTCAAGACCGCTGAGGCAGAGTCGTTTGGGTATAGGACGAGAGTGAATGAGCTGGAGACGCGGTTGTCTAAGGACCAGCGGACGTTATTGAGTGCTGAGAATCAGTATCGTGATCAGCTTACGGAGCGAAATACATTGCTGCTTACGATATATCAATACATGGATAAGATCCTCGGGGTGGATAAGACTCCCGTAAGTTCTTCCGTCACTCTCTAACACGCGTCACTCACTCACAAAAACATGTTATTTCGCAGAAGAAAGGCAATCAAGCAGAAACGAAGCCCTTCACTAATTTCAGCGTCTTCCACGACAACCTCATCACACGGCTCAAAGCTCTATCCCAGATCCAACTTGACTTCGAAAAGCGCGTCAAAGATGCAGAAGGGAAATTCACTGACAAGCTTGCTGAGATGCGGAGGCAGCTTGATGTGCGGTGGAAACAGATTGATAAGTTTGAGTCGAGCGTAAAGGCGTATGGTGAGGCAAAGTCTACATGGAGACGGAAGTTCACTGCAAAGGAAGGGGAGATTGAGGGGTTGAAGGTGGGTGTTTTTATGAGTGTTTTTGATTTTACGTTGATTTTGATTAATACTCTTACTCTCATCTGCAAAGGCCACCAACGCAGAATTAACCTCGCAACTAGTGACATCCCGACGACCAACCCAAGGCGACTCCCAAGAAACAAAGACGCTCCTTTCCCGCGCAGTAAATGCTGAGAAACGCCTAGTGGTAGTTCAAAACCAGCTCCTCCTAAGCGAAGAGAAGATTTCGAACATAAACCAAAAGACGACTACGGCTGATCAGAAATGGGAGGCGAGGGTGAAGGAGTACGAGACAAGGCTGAAAGCGGGGGAGGAGAAGTATAAAAGGGAGAGGCAAGGGGCGAAGGAGAGGGTGTTGGAGTTGGAAAATCAGATGAGGTTTGTGTTTTTTCCTCCCCTACCTTTCCTCTTTTCCTCCTTGCATGTCCAAGGTCTTGTGCTGACGATTTGGCACGGCAGGAGTCTAGAACGCCAGAACGAACTCGCTCAAAAACGGAGTGCGCAACTGGACAATGTGGCAGAGGCAAATAAAGGTCCCTCGCGGCCACGGTGATGATACCCTCCTTGCTGTTTGCCGTGTCTACGATGTTCACCCTTATGGGTGTTTTATAGCGAAGGTGTGCTCTTGCTTTCGTTCGGTTCTTGACGTCGCAATTTTGTATTAATTAGTAACATACATCTCATGTATTTTTCTTTCCTTTTTTTGCTCTGGGACAATGATCGTTGACTCGCATAGTTTAAAAGTGTGCATGATGACGGTGAATTGCTGCTGGATCACCATTAATCACGTAGTTGTCTGCGAACTTCGTGACATACTCAGGATACTCAACGAGCGTATTGATCGGGAAATTCCGTAGGGGAAGTAGAGCTTATTTTGGTCACTTACTAGCGATCAATCGGACCTTGCACGATCGAGGTACGTTGTTGATATTAATATCTTCCGCGCTATCCACGAGACTTCAAGCACACGATTCACGATGGCTTCAGACTCAGAAGAAAGCCCTATGCTGGAGCCCACCGCGCATGAATCTATCGATGACAGATTCGTGCCACATCAAAAGAGGTGGATTCTGTTTCACGTGTCCTTTGTGGGTTTGTTGGCTAGTGAGTACTGGCAGTTAAGGTCACGGTATACTGTCGACGTGATACTTACGAACATTGGTTAGTGTTCGTCCAAGTGACGTTCGTGCCTTCCATCCCTCAGATAGCTAAAGATCTCAACGTAACGGATGCTGTCGTCAGGTGTGTGTGATATGCACATATGATATGCAGCAGCGATCAACCTGTTTTCCCAGCTTGGCTTTCAGCCTATCGATCTTTGCTAATGCCATTGGAGAGTTGATTTGGTCTACTTATTCGTCTTTCTGTACGTGCATCCACTGCGGCCCCTTGTCTTTGTACTCGTGGTAGTTTTCGAGTTCAACCCCAGTCTTTCAGATGGTCGCCGACCGATATATCTCTGGGGAATGCCGTTTCTATGTGTTGGGAGCTGTGGTGTCGCCCTGTCCGCTTCGTTGCAGAGTCTGTTATTTTGGCGATTCGTCCAGATGTTTGGATGCTCTGGGGCGTTGTCGTTGGGGGCTGGGGTAATTGGTGACATCTATAAATTGGAGGAGAGAGGAACTGCTATCGGGGCATTCGTTAGTGTGAGGGATCGTTTATGATTGAATGGTTCCTCTAGTTTGGTACTGACACTACTATCTCAGGTCACAATCATCGGGTACGCTGTTGCCCCGTTTGTTGGAGGTAAACGCATTCTGCATGTTTGTGGCCGCTGGCTCTAGCAAATTTAAACAGGTGCGGCAACACAGTATTGGTCCTGGCGCAATTTGCATTATTCCATTGGCGCATGGGGATTACTCGAGATGCTTTTCATATACCTCTCGTTTCCTGAGACGACTCATCCCGGCACATTGGGCATCGATAAACTGCCATCCAGAAGATCGATGCATATCGCATGGATTAATCCTCTGAGCAGTCTTTGGTTGCTTCGCAGTCCGAACCTGTTCGCGGTTGTGAGTGCATTTACCATGCGCTAGTACAAAGTCTTCATTTTATGTGAGATATAGATGCTCGTGTCAACTATAATAACCAATACTAACTATAGTGGGTTGTTACTTGTTACCAATCGTGCAGTGCAATCTCACAAAAAGTGTAGTTCTCCTCGTACCGCTAGCGTATACTATTGTAAGCTGGCAATTGTCTTCCATCTCGCATCCTGATCGCAGTGTAGGGCGTCCGGTATGGAATCACGAACGAGGCCATCATCGGCGCGTTTTTCCTCCCAAACGGACTGGGAAGCTTCAGTATGTGCAGAGCATTGTGATCGCAATGCACCAACACAATCTTTGACAGCCGGAGCTCTGATCGCTGGCCGCCTATCAGACACTGTAGTAAGAAGATGGCGGGAGAAGCGCGGAGGAGCGTGGTGTCCCGAAGACCGCTTAAGAGCAGCGTGGATCGGAGGGTTTATCGTTCCATTGTCTATCGGGGCGTCAGGGCTGATTACGACGTATATTGGGGGCCCAATCGGCCTTGGGCTGAATATATTATGCCTCTATGCGAATGGAGTGGGGGTAAGCCCTGCCAGCTAGAACTTCATTCCGTGCATAAAGCAATTCATTGATTTCATAGGTCGACTTAGTGTTGAATCCTATCAACACTTATAATGTGGACGTAATGCATTCTCGAAGCGCAGAGGCCACAGCTGCTTGCATGTTAGTCTCCATGATATTGCGTGACCATCAAACCTGAACACGTTCATTTACCTATCAGGGCGAGTCGGTCGCTCATTATGTCTGCTGCCACTGCTGTTATTGTTCCATCGATCGAGCGCATGGGTGTTGCGTGGACGGACATCATCGCGGCTGTCTTTGCAGTCATTGGACAATGGTAAGGGTCTTTTTGACTGTAAAATTGGTGATGCTGATATTGCACTGCTTCAAATTTTCTGTCGTAGGATCCTTTCCTTGACAATTCGCTATGGCGATCGCATGAGGGCGAGCATAGATGTTGGTTTCTCGACACTGGAGAATAACTGACGGATTCATCTTCGTTTATCTGAAGGGAAGCATTGTATCAATATATGTAGCAGAATATACTCGTCACCATTGCCAATAGGCTGGTCTTTCGTAACGACTCAGAGCCACCTGGAGTAAAGTTGACTAAGAAACAAGTTGGCAACTACTCGGCGCTCAATTACACCTGCAACTTCGTAGTGACAGGTATATGTAACAGCTTGCGGCAAATCATGAACTAAAATCCTACGATGCTCCATATTAATCACTGGTCAGTGATTCCGAGAGGTGAGGTGATATGCGGTCGATTCCTCTGTTGTGGCGCGAGTCGGATTGATACCGTGATCTGTGCTAATAGTTTCTGTATGCTCGTTGGATACTGTGGGCGCGTACAGAGTTAGCACCCTTTGAGACCAATAATATCATACCATCTCGAACACAGAACGAAGGCGCTGGTAGATATAGAACACCTTGCACTCTCTGAAGGACTCGTAACTCGTTGGGAAGAATGTATTTCAAAGAGTAGGTCTGGAGAATCCAATTGTATTTATCTACATTAGCCACGGCAACTCGCACCAAGCGACAAGCTGACGACATGGATCTATGTAGCAGGTCAGTCTCGCAACCAGGATGAGTCAAGGTCTGTGTCGGGTGCATACTAGAATAAACATTGCTGAGACTTTCGGATAAGTCGCGGTAAATCGAACCATAAATTGATAACCTATCGTCCACCATAACAAGTCATGTAATTCGCGATACATTGTAATAGAGACATACGGATCTGATTTTGGACGCGCACAACGTGCACTTGCAAATTAATTTACAATCAACTCACGCATGCAGTCCGTCCTCTCTCAACACCAAGGCAACTCGAAGGTGTCCAAAACGCGCATTGGGTGGGAATAATGGTCCAAATAACTCGGGAAGACGCATGGTACACAAGACAGTACAATTTTTCTTGCTGCTAGAGGTCGGGGACGAGATGCCGATGGTCTTGAGGATGAACTTTCACGTGAGTGCGAAGATGTCGGCTGAGAAGTATGACTCACGTATCATGATCGTGAAGATCTGATTTATAAACTGCTGCTGAAGTACAACCACTCACCGTTTAACACCTAGACTTAAGCGAACCTAGGTCTCTCAGAGAGACCGCAGAAAAATCTCGAGACCGGTGATGTGGACTCGTTGCTCAGGCCTCAGGATAGGGTTACCCACGCAGCCCTCCATAGTCAATGTTATGTCAAACTGCCGGCGATTTTACGACCGACCTACTTATCTAAGGGGATTCCCACAAAACTAAAACCATTCTCTCTGAGAAATTCTTGATACCAGTGGTTCAAGGACGACTACGACTGGTCAGGAATGGGAGGTGAGATTGAAGGTCGAAGAGAAGTCTAAGAAGGAGAGACAGGGCGCGAAGGAGAGGGTGTTGGAGTTGGAGAGCTAGAAAACTTTTGCTTCCCCCTCCCCATTTGTCTCTCTCTCTTTGCATATCGAGGTCTTGTGCTGATGATGTTTTACGGTTAGAGTACGTCTAGCCTAATGCCAGAATGGTACTCGCTTGAACACGTGCATTGATTAGTAATCGATTAGTAACTTGCAACTTACATCTATATTGGTTACAGTCTTGACAGGTCTTGACTCGTGATGCATTGATGTATCTTGTCGGCAGGTAGGCAACTCATCCTTCTCAGGGAGTCAGCTCATGATTCACAATGGCTTCAGAAGAATGTCCTTTGCTGGTGCCCGCCGCCCATGAAGCTATCTATAACAGATTCGCGCCACATCAAAAGAGGTGGATTCTGTTTCATGTGTCCTTTGTGGGTTTGTTGGCTAGTGAGTACTGCGAGTTTAAGCGTCTGTTGACCCAGAGGCGTGATACTGATGAACATTGGTCAGTGTTCGTCCAAGTGACGTTCGTGCCTTCGATCCCTCGGATAGCTAAAGACCTCGACTTAACGGATGCTGTCGTCAGGTGTGTGTTGTATGCTCATCCGACGTGCAGTGATCGAGCTATTTCCCAGCTTGGCTTTTAGCATATCGATCTTTGCTAATGCTATTGGGGCGTTGATTTGGTCTGCTTATTCGTCTTTCTGTGCGTACATCCACGGCGTGTTTTGTACTCTTGGTAGCTTTTGAGTTCTAACAACAGTCCTACAGACGGATGCCGAGCAATATACCTGTGGGGAATGCCGTTTTTATGCGTTGGGAGTTGTGGAGTTGCGCTGTCGGCTTCGTTGCAGAGTCTGTTATTCTGGAGATTCGTGCAGATGTTTGGATGCGCTGGGGCGTTGTCGTTAGGTTTTGGCGTAATTGGTCACATTTATGAATTGGAGGAGAGGGGGACTGCTATCGGGACATTCTTTAGTGTGAGGGATCATGGTGATTGAATGTTTTTTTTTGGTTTGGTACTGACACTGCTCTCTCAGATTACACTTATCGGGGACTCTGTTGCCCCGTTTCTTGGAGGTAAATGCATTCTGCATCTTTATAGCCGCTGACTCTAGCAACACATTTGAACAGGTGCGGCGACACAGTATTGGTCATGGCGTAATTTGCATTATTCCATTGCTGCATGGGGATCACTCGAGATGCTGTTCATATACCTTTCGTTTCCTGAGACGAGCCATCCCGGCACATTGGGCATCGATAAACTGTCCTCCAGGGGATCGATCCATATCGCATGGATCAATCCTCTCAGTAGTCTTTGGCTGCTTCGCAGTCCGAACGTATCTGCGGTTGTGAGTGCATATACCATGCGCTAGTACAGATTTCTAATGTTGTGTGAGATGTAGATGCTTGTGTCGACTTTAATAACCAACACCAACTATGGTGGGTTGTTACTTGTTACCAATCGTGCAGTGCAATCTCACAAAAAGTGTAGTTCTCCTTGTACCGCTAGCGTATACTATTGTAAGCTGGCAATTGTCTTCCATCTCGCATCCTGATCGCAGTGTAGGGCGTCCGGTATGGAATCACGAACGAGGCCATCATCGGCGCGTTTTTCCTCCCAAACGGACTGGGAAGCTTTGGTATGTGTAGAGCATTGTACTCGCAGTGCGCCAACATAATCTTTATCAGTCGGAGCTTTGATCGCTGGCCGCCTATCAGACACTGTAGTAAGAAGATGGCGGGAGAAGCGCGGAGGAGTGTGGTGTCCCGAAGACCGCTTGAGAGCAGCGTGGATCGGAGGGCTCATTGTCCCATTGTCTGTTGGGGCGTCAGGGCTGATCACAACGTATATTGGAGGCCCGATCGGCCTCGCGCTGAATATATTATGCCTTTATGCGAATGGAGTGGGGGTAAGTCCTACTAGCTAGAACCTTCATTCCGTGCGTACAGCAATTCATTGATTTCATAGGTCGACTTAGTGTTGAATCCCGTTACCGCTTATAATGTGGACGTAATGCATTCTCGAAGCGCAGAGGCCACAGCTGCTTGCATGTTAGTCTCCGTGATATTATGTGACTATCTAACCTAAACACGTTCATTCACCTGTCAGGGCGAGTCGGTCACTCATTACGTCTGCTGCCACTGCTCTTATTATTCCATCGATCGAGCGCATGGGTGTTGCGTGGACGGACATCATCGCAGCTGTCCTTGCGGTCATTGGACAATGGTAAGAATCTTCTTGACTGCAGGACTGGTGATGCTGACATTGCACCCCTTCAAATTTCTGTCATAGCATCGTTTCCTTCACAATTCGTTATGGCGATCGCATGAGGGCAAGCGTAGATGTTGGTTTCTCGACCATGGAGAATAACTGACGGATTCATCTCGAGGGACGCAATGTATCAATATATGTAGCAGAGCATACTCGTCACCATTCCCAATAGGCTGGTCTTTCATAACGGCTCAGAGCCACCCTGGGTGAAGCTGATGCTTCTATGCTAAGCTCCAGATTAATCACTCCTGAGTAAATCCGAGAGGTGACATGCAGTCGATTCCTCCGTTGTGACCTGAGTCGGGCTGATACTGTTGTCTGTGCTAATAGTTGCCGTGTGCTCGTTGGTTGTTGTGGGCATCTACAAATTCAGGCGATTTGGCTGAAAGCAGACGTCGCCCGCCACTCATCAGACACTGAATGTTCGAGCCATTCTGTATTTCAGTCCCATGAGAAACATGGTCCCAGGCGGAATGTGTGCCTTGAACCTTCAGATCGAGATGTCCACGTAGAACAGTCAGCAAAGCCTGTACCTCGGCGAGGGACTCTTTATTGGTATGTCATAGACCATTGTGGTCCCTCTTCTCCCACGTCAGTGAGGAAAACTTGTTATGCCTAGTAGAATCTACGTGAAGGGAGGGTGCCAAAACTTGCCAAAACTCCAGACTCGCATTGGCCTGAGATCTGATAAATGATAGTTTGCATTCCGTACAGCAACAAGACGGATGTCCTCGTATCACTAATCAATGACAGGTTTGAGCGCCTGCTAGTCAGGAACAAGTTGAAAACAGCTCGCATCGCTACTACTGTGCCAATGGAAACATTGCAGAGACACTGACAACGAGTCGTCAGGCCCTTGAATCCAGGGTCGTGGCCACAGCCTACCGATCGAACCATCTTACCAAGCACTAATGCAATTACTCCTCAGCGTTCAGCACCAACTTCCAAGTATCGTGCCTATTATTTGATATGAAAAAGACCCGAATCCAGATCCGAGTGTCAATCTGCCGTTCTGCTGCGGCCATTGCTATCAAGAGACACAAACCTTCCGGTCATAACCAGCAAAAATGACCCTTGTAAAGCGGTTTTGCCCCCTACCAACGCCGTGCTTGCTTCGAGATATCGAGTTCCAGGACCCTGGAAGAGGGTCTTTTCTTGTGATGTGAAGTACCTTCCATTCTATCCTTCCACTCTCTAATCTTCACCTTCCCTCTCATAAAGACATTTACAGTGTCTCTTGCACAGGTATTCATGCATCCCTAAGGCTAGTACTTCAAGTCTCTCCCGAGTCTTTCCGGTCATGCATACTTAAGTTCTCATTGGACCCCTCGAGCTGGGGATCTTCTCACTTGCTATTAATAGGCTCGACCAATTAAAGAAAATTAAACTCGATCAAGATCGATTCTGTATCTATTTGTTCTTGGTTTGTCAGCTTTTTTGTCGTCGTTGAACTACATAAAGACTTTCGGATAAGTCACGGTAAATCGAACTATAAGTTGATAGCCGAATCTAACGCAATCCAGCATGCTGGCGATTTTACGACCAACCTACTTATGAAAGGGAATTCCCACGAAACCAAAACCAGAACCAGATGTACTCCTTCGAATACGTGTACATTGGTAATTTGAAAGAGGTATTACATGTATACCGGCTCTAGATAGCGGTTACAGTATTGACTCGTGATGTATCATGTCAGCAGGTAGGCAACTCATCCTTCTCAGGGAGTCAGCTCACGATTCACGATGGCTTCAGAAGAAAGTCCTTTGCTCAGGCTGGTGCCCGCTGCCCATGAAGCTATTTATAACAGATTCGCGCCACATCAAAAGAGGTGGATTCTGTTTCACGTGTCTTTCGTGGGTTTATTGGCTAGTGAGTACTGGGCGCTAAAGCATCTGTTGACCCAGAAGCGTGATACTGATGAACATTTGTCAGTGTTCGTCCAAGTGACGTTCGTGCCTTCGATCCCTCAGATAGCTAAAGATCTCGACTTGACGGATGCCGTCGTCAGGTGTGTGTTGTACACTCATCCGATGTGTAGTGATTGAGCTATTTTCCAGCTTGGCTTTTAGCTTATCGATCTTGGCTGATGCTACCGGAGCGTTGGTTTGGTCTGCTTATTCGTCTTTCTGTGCGTGCATCCATGGCGTGTATTGTACTTGTGTTAGCTTTTGATTTCTAACCACATTCCTACAGACGGGTCCCGAGCAATATACCTGTGGGGAATGCCGTTTCTATGTGTTGGGAGTTGTGGTGTCGCCCTGTCGGCTTCATTACAGAGTCTGTTATTCTGGCGATTTGTGCAGGCGTTTGGATGCGCTGGCGCATTGTCGTTGGGGACTGGCGTGATTGGTCACATTTATAAATTGGAGGAGAGGGGGACTGCTATCGGGGTGTTCTTTAGTGTGAGGGATCATGATGACTGAATGTTTTTTTTCCGGTTTGGTGCTGACACTGCTATCTCAGATTACACTTATTGCTACGGTGTTGCCCATTTCTTGGAGGTAAATGCACTTTGGATATTTGTGACCGCTGACTCTAGTGACGCATTCGAACAGGTGCGGCGACACATCATTGGTCTTGGCGCAATTTGCATTATTCCATCGGTGCATGGGGATTACTCGAGATGCTTTTCATATACCTTTCGTTTCCTGAGACGAGCCATCCTGGCACATTGGGCATCGATAAACTGCCCTCCAGGAGATCAATCCACATCACATGGATTAATCCTCTGAGCAGTCTTTGGTTACTTCGCAGTCCGAACCTATTCGTAGTTGTGAGTGCATTTACCATACGCTAGTGAAAACTCTTAATTTCGTGTGAGATGTAGATGCTTGCGTCAGCTCTAATGGTCAACACAGTCTATGGTGTGTCGTTACTCGTCACTGACTGTGCAGTACATTCTCACATAAAACAATGCAGTTCTTGTCGTACCGATGGCGTATACTATTGTAAGCTAACAATCGTCTTCCATCTCGCATCCTGATCGCGGTGTAGGGCATCCGGTATGGAATCACGAACGAGGCACCATCGGCGCGTTTTTCCTCCCAAACGGACTGGGAAGCTTCAGTAGGTGTAGAGCATTGTACTCGCAGTGCACCAACACAATCTTTAACAGCCGGAACTTTGATTGCTGGCCGCCTATCAGACACTGTAGTAAGAAGATGGCGGGAGAAGCGCAGAGGAACGTGGTGTCCCGAAGACCGTTTGAGAGCAACGTGGATCGGAGGGTTGTTCATTGTCCCGTTTGTCTATCGGGCATCGGGGCTGATCACGACGTATATTGGGGGCCCGATCGGCCTTGCGCTGAATATATTATGCCTTTATGCGAATGGAGTGGGGGTATGTCTTACTAGCTAGATCCCTCACCCGTGCATAAAGCAATTCACCGATTTTATAGGTCGACTCAGTGTTAATCCTATTAGCTCTATAATGTGGACGTAGTACATTCTCGAAGCGCAGAGGCCACAGCTGCTTGCATGTTAGTCTCCATGATATTGTGACTATCTAACCTGAACACGTTCATTTACCTATCAGGGCGAGCCGGTTGCTCATTCTATCTGCTTCCATTGCTTATCCTTCCATCGATCGAGCGCATAGGTGTTGCGTGGACGAACATCATCGCGGCTGTCCTTGCGGTCATTGGACAAGGGTGAGGGTCTTTTGACTGCAAGACTGATTACTAACACAGCACCGCCTCAAATCTTCTTTAGGATCATTTTCTTGACAATTCGTTATGGTGATCGCATGAGGGCCAGCATAGATGTTGGTTTCTCGACCATGGAGAACAACTGACGGATTCATCTTCGTTTATCTTAAGGGAGGCATTATGTATTATAATCAATCTATGTGGAACAATATACTCGTCACGATTGCCAATGGGCTGGTCCTTCATAACGGCTCAGAGCCACCTTGAGTGAAGTTGACTAGAAAACAAGTTGAACTGTGGATGCTCAATTACACCTGCAACTTTCGTGCTGACAGATGTATGTAACGGCTTGCGAAAAATGATGAGCTGAAATTATATGATTTTCCAGATTAATCACTCACGAGTGAATCCGAGAGGTGAGGTGACATATTGATATTATTCTACCCCGAAGCGAGGAACGAGCGTAGGGTTAAAATTAGGACTTTGCGACAGCGGCAGTGCAGCACGCGGCCTCTCTTGTCTCCGCACCACGCAGTGCTCACGCCACGCTCAAACCGGCCTGCTGCTTCACCCACTACTCCCTTATCCTCGCAGCCTACATTGCCACTGGTACCTGAACGTAGTCAACTTTAACTACATACTAGTACTACATCCCTCTTCCTGGGGCCCGGGTGGCTGGTACCTAGACCTGCTGAGTCTGAGGCTGCGAGGATGCCCACCTGCCCTCGCAGCTCACCCGGCTCTCTCTCGCACAGGTTGGGGCCGCCATAGGGGCCGGGTTGCCCCTTCGGGGCTTCCACCCGACAAACTAAGCTGACATCATGGATCTATGTAGCAGGTCGGTCTCGCACCAGCTGAACGAGC